ATATATTTTTGTCAAATTTTTATGATATCGTCAAACATATATTTTATTCAAAAATAAAAACATCATCGTTTTCTCAAAATCACATAAAACCATATTATAACATCRAMTRAGATAAAGAATAAAATGAAATATTAAAAACACGATGTATCTCGCTGTATTGCGCGAGTACGCTTCTAGTTCTATTAAATAAATTTGAATCGGAAAACATAATTTTTAATATAAAAATTAACTTAATTAATAAAAACGATAAAATATCACGATCCACAATTCCAAATCTCAATTCTTTTTGTCACATTTTTTTTCTTGAAAATATTGCAATAAGTGTTGTCTGACCCTAACCGAAATAATTAAATGTCACATGTGAAGCATAATACTTTTTTTTTGTCCTCTACTTCATTTCTCAGTTGGTTCAATGATAACTTATATACATTTATACATAATTAGAAGGGTATTCGCTTAATACAACGAGATAAATCTTTATTTTAATGTTTAGTTTTTATTTTTGTCTCTATCGATATAATACGATTTTATATGATTTTAAGAAAGAGATAATGTTTTTATTTTTTAATGAAATATAAATTTGAAAATAGTATAAAATTTTTAAAAAAATCAATCGATATTAGTATCAAATTAACTATTTAACAATTCTCATTTTTTTGGTGTAACTTCTTTAATTCAAATTTTTATTATAATAACAACAAAGTAATTTATTTTTGGTTAACAATATAATTTTTTATAAATATAATAATTAAACATGTTGTTAGAACTTAATGATTATCTTAATTATATTTTAGATTTTTTATATTTAAAATGGATGTTTATTCAATATTTGATTATGTTTATCTGCAGTTTGTTATACCAATTTAAAAATAAAGTTTTAATAGGTTGTACTTGCGCACAATTACTTGTAATCTTTAATTTTAAGTAATGTGCATCAATAAACAGTACTTCATGCATAAAAAATGATTTTTAAGAGTTTTTGTTAAATGCTTTATAATATAGCATAAATAGAGTAAATTACATGTAATTTTATATTAATGGTCAATGCAGGGTGTATAGGCAACGTGGTTCACGGCCTCATATCACGACTAAAGTTGCGTGATCCCATTTGATTTTACACGTGATTTTAGTATAAAATCACATGTGATTTAAATATTTTTTATTCCTTTATTTGATTATTGTTCTCGTATGAACTTCTCTCTCTCACTTATCTCTATATATAAATATTTCTTTTAAGTCTAACATCAATCATGTTAGTTAAAAGCTTGGAATCTTTCAACATGTGGACTATTTCATTGGTTTTTATTAGTTTTTTTTTTCTTATAGCATGATAGACATATGTGGCCTTGGGGCAAATATCAAGATTCTTGTATGTACACATTTAATCACCAAAATTTTGATACAATATTTGGTTTTAAAATGAGACTAAAATAAAAAAACGTCATATCTAAATGTGTTATGATAGTTTTATATAATGTTTTAAGACGTTTGGAACAAAATTTTAGAATAAAGTGTCATGTTAGCTATTTTTATACGATATTATTTGAAAAAGAGTCTTATAAACATAAGTGTCTTATAAAAAGATTAAATCTAATTACAATAATTTACCGGCAGATATTTAATTATTTTTTTAAAAATTAACATCAATAATTAATAATTAATATTTGTTTTCAAAAATTTCCGGCGGAAGCCGGAGTCCGCCGGCAATTGCTATCCAAGTTTTTTTTTGAAATAATGATTTCCGACGGATTCCCGGCGGCCGTCTCCGCCTGAAAAATTAATCACCTGCGCCAATATCTCGGGCGGCTGTATTCTCCGGAAATCCACCAGAGATCTTAATTTTCGACGGATACGGCCGTCGGAGATAACCCACTGTTTTGATAGTGTTTGTTTTCTATGGGATTTTGGAATTTTACAGAGAAGATTATTGTAATTTTCCTTAAAATATTTAAAATAATTGTATTGCTTTTTATTATAATTTATACATAGGATATTTAAAGTTATATAATTGTTTTGAGAGACAAGATACAATAACTTCCATTTTATTAAAAGCATAAACATTTTATTACAAAATATATAATAAGGTATTTTCTAGCATTTTCGTTAGTACAAATTTATTTTGTACCGGGGTACACTTATTTGACTTTGTTGGTTGAATGATGCGTGGGTGAATACTTGAATAGTTCCGGTGAACCCAACCTTGTAAGGTTAACGTAATCTTGTGGACCATGAGCTGGCAATCCTGCAATCAAAAGTCCGAAAATTCTCAACCCTCTGCAAGAATATGTTTCACAGTACTCTGGCCCATCTTGATAATAGATAATGAAGCTCCTCAATAACTCCCAAACTGCGTTTACAAACATGGGTATTATAGCAAATATCGAGAAGTAGTTCTTATTCGGCTCTTCAAGGAGCACCTGCACACGTCAACCAAACCAAACAAATATTGATTAGTTTACATTTTCCATTTCGTCACAACAGTTGATCGACGTTAAAGTATCTTTAACGGTGATTTAAACCAAAGATTGAGTTGAGTTGAGTTTCTGATAAATATATTTTACTGATAGCGAGTGATGTGCTTACCTGTCCCTTGTAGAAGCTATTGTAATAATGGCAGCCACCAAAATGTTTGAACAACTGATCAGAATTATCAAAAGGCACTCTAGGTACCAAATCGTTGCAATAAACAAACCTATGGTACCTCAATCCATGAGTTACCAACACTTCTTTCATGTATTCACCAAATTTGTGATCTCCAACCCTAGGCTGTCCAAATGTATACACCCCTTCAAGTTTAGATAGCAAATCAATCTCCTTATGGTATGCCAAAATGGCAGGAAACACGGTTGCTAATGCTGCTCCCAGACTATGGCCTGTTACTAAGAATTTGGCGTATGGGTTCTTTCGAAGACGTTCCTTGAGTTTCTGTCTCATGGCATAGTAAGCATAGGGTTTTTGTTCGTCCGCGTTGATGTCTTTAGGCCAGCCTTGGCTTTTTTGTAACCCTAGGGCTTTCAAGAAACCAGCATGGACCTTACCTATCGTAGGGAGGTGGTACCATGAAAGATCTACGTCAGATGACCAATCTTTAGCGTTGAAAGGTGACGTGCCTCTGAAGGAAACACCTATGAGCTCAGAATCCCCAGTTTTGTCGCTCCACATAAACCCTTGTGTCGTGTAATCCTCTTCATAATCTGATATAAATTCAAGCGAATCAAGTTTAATTCTTTAACGACATGTTCTAAATTCAAATTAGATGAAAGATTAATCAGCTCATGAGTAATTACCGTTCCAACAATTGAAGAATCCCAAGAACTCCATCTGAAATCAAGGTAGTTAATTTGTCACGTTAGCTCTCACTAGAATAGGAAACACCTATAAGTTGCCCCAATTAGTTATATTTCTTATAAATTGCTTTATAAGATTTAACTTTATAAGACCAACAATTGTGCCTTTTATGCAAATTGTTATGATAAGTTGATAGGACGGTTGTAGGTGCCCTAACAAGTTTAAAAGAAATATTTGTAACAAATTGTCATATTAGCTTTATGACATTATTTGAAAAGATATAAATGTCTAATAAGAAATCTATTAATTAAAATTGTCTTATAAAATAGCTAACAAAACACGTTATTTCAAAGTGCTACATAAGAGCATCTCCAACAAATTCTCCAAAATTTCTTTAAAATGAAGAATGGAACTTCAAAATCTTTGAAACAAAAATACATTCAACTCCAAGAGATTCTCCATTTTTGATATTACAACATTGATTATATTATTAAATATTTCTTTCATCTAATAAAATATTATTTCTTTCTACATAAATTGTTTTCAAAGTTTCCGTTTTGGAGAATCTGTTGGAGCAAAATACATCCCTAAATCCCCAAAATCCACAAAATCTGTTGAAGATGCTCTAACTTGTAAGAATGCCTAAAATCTATATTCGTCATAAATCTTATTGTAACACTTTTACATGTATCAAAAAAATCTTTGGTTCTATATAATAATATATTCAGATATTTCGACCAATTATATTGTAATGACAACATGAAGAAGATGATCATGTAAGTTAGTTGTTATATACCTTCCAATGTTTCTCGACCGTATCTTTGATATAAGCTGGGTTTTCATATGCAGATTTAGCAGCCATTACGGCAAGTGCACTGGTGTATCTGGGATCTTCATGCTTAATTTTACTGTCTAAATTCCTTCGAATATCCCCCAACCCTACTGCGGACAAATATTCCGGAGACTTCCTATCAGGTAGCACCAATCTTCCTGCATTACATCCACTCATTAATATCAGATAAAATAGAAGTTATGATAATATATGATCAATTAAAAGAATGAACTAATTCAATCCAGATTTCAAACTTTTACTTCATACATCATCTAATAAAGTTCGTTGACCATTCAACCACGATTAAGTAGAACAACTTCTTACTCAAATTAAAAACGTTTTAATATCGTTGTTTTTATCAATTTTGTTGGATCTAATCTTCGATCACATCAATATATCATTAATTAATTAATTAAGAGTAATAATCACATGTTCATATTTTATTTGAAAAAGGAAAGGTTTAATTAACCATTGCATACATGTATATACCCAAATTTATGCAAAGTTAATTTCCCACATACGAGGCTTTGTATTAAAATTTTACTAACAATTTTTTTTTATCTATACTATATTATAAAGCATGTCACAAAAACTCTTAAAAACAATTTTTTATGTATGAAGTATTGTATATTGATGCATATTACTTAAAATTCAAGATTACAAGTAAATTATGCATAAATACAACTTGTTAAAGCTCCATGTTTGAATTCGTGTAACTAATTGCGGATACACATAATCAAATAGAGGATAAACATCTCATTTTAAAATATAAAAAATCTAAAATATAATTAGGATAATTATCGAGTTCTAACAAAATAATTAATTATTATATTTATAAAAATTATATTATTAAATCAAATATAAATTATTTCGTTATTGAACCTAAATTGAAATTATAATAAAAAAATTAGAAAATTACACAAAAATAGGAATATTAAAAGTTAATTTGATACTAATATCGATATATTTTTGTCAAAATTTTAAGCTATCTTCACATTTATATTTTATTTAAAAATAAAAACATAAATCGCTTTTTCAAAATCACATAAGACCATATTATAACATCGACTGAAATAAATAATAAAATGAAATATTAAAATCAAAATGTATCCTTCTAGTATGATTTATATATGCATTGCGCGAGTACCCTTCTAGTATGATTTATATACATGAGTTTGGTTCACCTGAGACGAACCTATTTTCATGAGGTCCGTAATGTTCAATGTTATTTATGTGAGTTTCCACGGGTATCACTAAAACACTTTGTTCTCACATATGATCCAAAGTCTCTCTTCTCTCTCTGTATGTATTTACACGCATATAGATAGAGAGAGAGGGGTCCATGGAAACCCCTCTTGCAAAAATGAAAATTGAGGAACATTATAATAACCGTTTATCTGGACGGTATGCACATATGCATGCATACAAATATTTTGTAAGAAATTTGTCTGCTATACACAGGATAAATGATTACCAGGTTCCTCTGATACAAAAACGCGCGCCTCGTTCCGAACTTAAAATACAAGTAAATATACACCACAAAATAAATGAATTTTACCCAGAAAAAATCATCGAGAGAAATTTTCATACGTGATTACCCGTGAATCACCCAGAAAATACCAATATTTCGATGGAATCCGATGTTTTTTTTTGAGAAAAATACCAATATTAAATTGGCATCTGATTCTTTTAGCCTTAAACATGACAACCAAGCTGCAAATCAAATCTTAATCCATCATTAATTATCTATCACAAACAAGAACCATGCATATTATTCAATTAAGCTCTCATGAATCTTAGAAGATCTTATGAAATCCTAATTAATTTTAGCCTAATTACTGAATAAAAATAAATGGAAATATCATTTACAAAAAAGAAAGAATATATTAAATGAAGAAAATGAATGAATTAACCTGTAATGAGACGAACAGGAAGCTTGAGAAATCCGCCATTGCCATCGAAAAAGTTGGGCACAAATTCGATCAAAGATCCAAGCCAATACAAAGGTCCGTAAAGCAAATGAAGAATCTTCTGAGCAACAATGGATATGAAGATAATAAAACGACGTGAAAAGCTTGTTTCGAGAGTTCCAGCTGGACAGTCGATGAACTTCCTGTTTTCGATGTTTTTAGAGATCAAAATCATAATAAGATCCCATAATCCTACGTCTTTAGGGCTTAGTAACAGATAATCTTCACAAAATGATTTGTTGCAGGTTTTCTTAGTGGCAGCAGCCATGGCCGACCACTGGTTTTGAGTTTCTTTCTTTCTAGGGGTTTTGAGTTAAGTTAAGGAAGAAGATTCAATGTGCAGAAATTGGGTGATATTGTTTGGTTATTTATGGACGACTAACTTTGTTGGTTGGTGTAATACGTATATTATTGGAAATGATTAATTCATTGGGTTTTTAAGCTTGATGTCTTTTATGCATGTGTAAAATGTGTCTATATTGGTTGTAATGCAAAAATGTACGAAATAAATTTCAAAGAAAATGATTAAAGGCTCTGTACCAACAGGGCCGGCCCTGGCCACGTGCAGCCCGTGTAGCCGCACAGGGCATCAAAGTCTAAAGGGGCATCAAGTTGTCATCTACTACTATTTTTGAGTTTAATAATTTGAGAATTAGACAACTGAGCTTTAAATATAAAAACAGACCCAAGGCCTAGTAGTCATGAATACTGAATGCACATCATGAACAGGTTAATGCCGTCATTCCAACAACCCAATTTAATTTCTATTGTTCTTCAAAGTTAGACTATTTCGATTTTCAAGGCATGAAGTTCTCTTTTCAGCCGATTAACGGTCATGGAATTAGATTCAAGAAATCAAAAATGGAATTTCAAATGATTGATTTMTACARTTGATTGAACTTAYCGAGTTGTTGTGTGAGTCATATTATGATTTATGAATCTTTAAATCGTTTTGCAAAAAAAATCTAAATTTCTAACTGATTATTATAAAGTTGGGTCATGTGGTCGTGCGAGTTACTGACCTACTAGGCTAAGGTTAAGGCTAAGGGCTTTTGTCATTTTGATAATGAGTCTTCTTCTTGCATATTGAAATATCGGAGAATTGAAATTTTCACTGCACATGAGCTTATCACTGTATCAACATAGCTGGAACACACTACACAACATTAACAACATATTGTGATATTGTCTTAATTATTGGACACTTGTTATTTACAATGCACAGTAACATAGATTATGAAATTTACAATTTATTATTGTTCTTTTGACTTTTATTTACTTTGAGGTTTGAAATTACCGTATTAGATTTAGGGGCCGTTTGATTGGTTTTTTATTAAGTTCCATATGGATAAAATTGTTTGTATGCATTAATCTGTTTGTATCAGTTGGAAAAAAAATTATTTGGGAGAGTTTTTGCGCAGATGTACGGAGCATTTTTTAGTTGGAAGGGACATGTTTGAAAAAAAAAAACTTGGCGTTCTATATAAAGCTCCTCCTAGAAGCTTACCAAATAAGTCGTTTTTTATATCATTAAACCAGTACGAAACAGTCATGCATAATTGAGTGAATAAGCTGTTAGTTCCATTAAACTCATTAAGCTGCTAATAGATAGGCCCCTAGCCTTTAGTCGTAGACCTGCAACTTTTGAGTTTTACTTTTTGCTTACTATGACAGTAATGTGAATGTAATTTACTATTTTAATCAAAAACTAATTATAGTTTTTCTTTTCTTTTAACTCCCATATATTAAAATAAAGTTTCTAATTTGCTAATTTCAATTTGGTAAAGGGAAAACTGGAAAAGTTAATCCAAGATTTATCCTTTTATCATTCCATACTTTGTATTCGGGGTTTTAGTTTTTATGTCCCCCTCCTTTTTATTATAATTAACAGAAATCAACATGAGGATGAGACACTCAATTTGAATAGGTTCTAAACTCTTTAGAATCGCATGTTTCGTTATTTCATTGGCTTAAAAAATAGGCTTATGGGCATTTTTTTTCGCACAGAGCATCAAAAATCTTAGGACCGGCCCTGTGTACCAAGTATCTTACCTGATAAGAGACATGATAAAGATCGAAAATAGTCTTTGTACAAAAAGTGTGGGAGAAGACTTTTACTGGATAAAAAATATTTACCAACACTCCATTTGATGGCCGAGAATGTTACCCATCGAGATGTTAATGACACTTCAAAACAAAGAGGTTTTACTGGTAATTTGCCGGTGGTGACTTTTTTCAGCGGAGTACTAACGGATTTTTCCTCGGTGAAGCCACTCTGTTTTGTAGTGTGAAGTTGGTGACTCTAGGGACAGACCCACGTGGTTTAACTCCGTCGTAGTATAAAAAATTATAGGGTCTTGAAAAATGTCACCCTGAACCACAAGGGTGGTGCATGATTGTTTTGAGTTTGGGCTCCAAAGGTCAAAGTGTGTGGAGGTCTCAAGTTCAAATCCAAGGAGGAATAAAAATCCCCTTGTGGTCATGAAGGTTTAAATGCAGTGACTCTGGGCTACCCGCAAAGAAGGTGGTTGTTATGAGATTAGTCAGCTCGCATAGCGGATTGGATATCCAGGTTAATAAAAAAAATTGTCACCCTGTCAATTTGTTATGTGCCTCTGTATATATTTTGAGAGAACAATGAGGACAAGAGCTTCTTTTGGTAGAGTTGGTTTGCAAAGCTTTTCTTATACCCAAAAGCCAAGTTCGAATGTCGTTATTGTCATTTTCTAACTTTTAATTTCAGATTTATTATGTTTCTGAATTTTCTTGCAATAAAAGATTTGGATACATGATCTCATTTATTCAAGACAATGAAATAACCCGGGGCGGATGGCTTAAGGGGCATAGGGGGGCCTGGCTTAAGGGGCATAGGGGAGCCATGGCCCCTGTGCCTTTGTATCTCCATCCTACAATAGAAAAAAAATTTAATTATATAATAATTAAAATTTTATTTTGGTCCCCCACATAATTATCATTAAAATAATATATATCAAGTCTAGTAAATGTTTTATTTAAATAATAACTTGATCTCTTCATTGTTTGTGAAGCTAAATATTGTTTATTTTTCATTTTGATTAGGTTGAAAATTGTTGGTTTCTATAGTTAGAACTAAATATTTTATTGTGAAACAATTGTTAAGAAGATTTAGAGGCCGTTTACTAAACGCTTACCCGGTGAGTACTTACTGAACAATTTTCCTTACCAGCTGAACATGGCAAGGGGCAAAATTCTTACCCGGTAAGAGTGATGATAAGAATGGAGAGTTTGACCCGGTAAGTGAGGGTGACGACTTTTATCTGGGTAAACGTTTACCAGGTAAAATTGTTGTATAAGATACGTTTTGATGAAAATACAAGAGAGATATAATCGGACTCCATGACATAAATTTTTAGAGTGATTTACACTGGTATTACTATTTTTTTGTTAATACTTTGAATGTTTAAGTTTTTGGAGTAAATTATATAATGTATTAATTATATATAAATAATGTGTAAGTTGGTATTACTAATTTTCTGTTAATACTTTGAATGTTTTGAGTTTTAATCTTACATTAATCAAACTTTTTTCTAAAATTTAATAATCTAAAAACGAATCATTTGGATGTATAAAATTTTACAATATTATAGCATCTCCAGCATATTCTCCAAGGAGAATTAAAACTCTAATAAAATATTATTTCTCTCTCATAAGCCATTAATATCAAAGATTCATATCGGTGTGAATATGATAAAAAAAAATGTTTCTCTCTTATTATAATCATTTTTGGTTTACACTCTCTTATGTTTTCTCCATTTTGGAGAGTTTTGGAGATGTTGGAGCAAAAATATGTCTAAAATCTTTATTTTCTTAATTTTGAAAAAACTATTGAAGATGTTTTTATTTCGTCCCCCCAGACTACAACAGTCATGTTCCGTCCCTGGAAATAACCAATAAACCAATAATGATTTTATAAAAAGTATTTATATATTTATTTCTTATAATTATACGATACCACCACTTAAAAAATCCTAAGTCTTAAACGCTTGTTGTATGAACATTTTGATAAATAAATCCCTGAATTATGTAATTTTAAGATATTTATAAAACGGATCCAAAGAAAACAGTGAACTTTTTATTGATTTATATTCATATATGCTTCCGGACAAGTTTGCATGTGATTCATGTGCTATGAATTTTAGAGCGGGGCCACAGATCTTTAAAAAGATAAACGTTTTTAATTTTATTGCCTATGGAGGTAGCCTGGTTGGTACTGGTACTGGTATTGGTTAAGAGGTCGTTTACCAAACATTTACTCGGATAAGTAAACACCAAGTCATATTATCTTACCGGATGAATATGATAAGGATCAAGAATCTTACTTGGTAACAGCGAGACAAGAATCAAGAGTCTTATTCAGTAAGTGAGGGTAACGACTCTTACCATAAGTAATTCTATTCCACAATAAGGAGTCAATAACGTTTGTTTTATTGTTAGAACCTCCTTATATATCATCGACGTTAATATATTTGCGGCAGATTTGGTTGGATGACTGGTGTCTAACCCAATTCCAACCCTATTAATTGACGGTTTATCAGGTTAGGTTGGTAATTATATTTTGTATAGGAAAAGACTCATTTAGGATATTTATATAATAAGTCCAAACAAAACCAGTAGAAAATATCTATAATATGTTATAAACATTTAGATTTTACCTATTAAAATCTCGTAATTTTTAAAGAATAAGAAATATTAAAAGTATTAAGTACAATCAATAATGCATACAAAGTCTTTCAATTTTAATAATATTCTTAAAACGTCCACAATTAACGAAAAACTCATTTCTTATCTTTTTTTCCTTCTAAGAATCTCAATAAAACTTTAGAATTAAGGTTTTAATATGATGCTCACTTTCCATTTTTATATTTATAACATATAACTTCATTTATATATGATAATGTAAATGAGATTTATGAGCTCCTTATACATATTTACAACTTAATAATACGTTTGAACTTTATAAAAACTAACTCATAAACAATTGATAGACATGTTCATGTTTATATCCGCCGGAAATCCTTATTACAGCGGATAATACCGCCGGTGATTAATTTAACGGCGGATATTACCGCCGTTGATTAATTTACCGACGGGTTTACCGGCGGATACCGGCCGCCGGAAACTTTTCGCCGGTTTAATTAAAAAATATTGATTAAATTAAGATAAAATTTAAGGGTTTCTTTAAATTGAATTAATTTACCAACGGATATTTCCGCTGGAAATCCGTCGGTATATTTCAAGTGGATTTCGTCCACCTGAAAACTCGTCGAAAATAGCCTGTTGTCTGATAGTGTCCATCGAATTG